CACAAGTTTCTCTGTCGTTCCTCAGAGTCATGGCTATGTTATTGTCTACAATCGTTCCTTCTACCAAGCTTGTAATCTTTAACAACAATACACAAGAGCGTGCACTTCCAAGTATTTCTCATTTCTCAGGTAAGCCCCTCGATTAGTCAGTTAAATCCTTTTCGCTTATATCAGTTTGGGACACTTTTCTTTTCCTTTTTGCCGATGCCCCAATTGCGTTTTATGTGTATTGAATGTAGTTACTAGCAAGCGCTTTAAGAAATTATCGTCCTTGATTGCTTTTGCGGTGAAGGGTGACTCCTCTCACGCTAAAGCCACAAGGAGAGATAGTAGAAACCCATTGTTGAGTGAGGGGAGAGATGAAGATGAAGCTAGAGGACCCATCTGCCCTGGTTGTGGAGTCTTCATGCAAGATAAGGACCCTAACCTTTTAGGGTATTACCAACCAAGGAAAGTGAAAGTGGAAGAGTTTTCAGAAGAGGATAATGATGTGTTTGGTGATGATGATGGTGTTTATGTAGAAGAAGAAGAAGATGATGATGATAAAGTGGGGGTTTTGAATGAAAGTGAAATTAAGCTTGGAGAAGAAAGTGAGGAGTTAGAAGGTAAGTTTGATTGGGATTCTGATGACTGGGAAGCTAAGTTACCGAGTGAAGATGATGTGGAGTTGGAATTGGATGGGTTTGCACCTGCAGGAGTTGGGTATGGTAACATGACTGAAGAGTACTTGGAGAAGATAAAGAAAAAGAAGGTGTCCAAAGCTGAGAAGAAGAGGATGGCTAAGGAGGCTAACAGGGAGGAAGAAGAGGTTACCGTGTGTGCTAGGTGTCATTCCTTGAGAAACTATGGCCATGTGAAGAACCAAACGGCGGAGAATTTGATACCGGATTTTGATTTCAATAGGTTAATTTCGATGCGGTTGATGAACCCTTCTGGAAGTGGCAGTGCTACTGTTGTTGTCATGGTTGTGGATTGTGTTGATTTTGATGGTTCATTCCCTCGGATTGCTGTGAAATCCTTGTTTCAAGCATTGGAAAGAATACAGGATAACTCAAAGCGGGCCAAGAAGCTGCCAAAGCTTGTTCTTGTGGCAACAAAGGTTGATCTCCTTCCGTCCCAGGTTTCTCCTACAAGATTAGATAGATGGGTTCGAAACCGTGCAAGATCTGGAGGAGCACCTAAGCTAAATGGGGTTTATTTGGTCAGTTCAAGGAAGGATTTAGGCGTAAGGAATTTGTTGTCCTTCGTGAAGGATTTGGCTGGTCCTCGTGGGAATGTCTGGGTGATTGGATCTCAAAATGCAGGGAAGTCTACTCTGATCAATGCATTTGCAAAGAAACAAGGAGCAAAAGTTACAAAGCTAACAGAAGCTCCAATTCCTGGGACAACACTTGGGATCTTGAGAATTGCAGGAGTTTTGCCCGCTAAGACTAAGATGTTTGACACTCCAGGGCTCTTGCACCCATATTTAATGTCAACAAGATTAAATCGGGATGAGCAAAAGATGGTTGAGATCCGGAAGGAACTCCGGCCTCGGTCATATAGAATTAAGGCAAGTTACTTATTTGCTATTGCTGTTATCTATCCCGAATCTAAATTGTCAAGGGTGCTTTTGTTTTCTTGCTCGGATTTCAAGTTTGCTTTGTGCATATTCAAGAGACTTCAGATCTAACAGATTATTTTAGTGCTATGTTTTCTACATAACATTGACAATTATCTGGCATCTCATGATTCTGAATCATAAATATGCGTACTGAGTCAAGACTACAACGTTTGCATACTTATTATAATGTATATTTTAGAAAAGGAGTAAGGTTCTCACTCACGTGCTGCTTTTTATTTACAGGTAGGACAAGCTATACACATTGGTGGCTTGACAAGACTTGACCTTGTTGAAGCCTCTGTTGAAACAATATATGTCACTGTGTGGGCATCATCAAATGTTTCCCTTCACATGGGGAAAATAGAAAATGCTGATGAGGTTTGGAGAAAGCATGTCGGTATCAGGTTACAGGTAAGCCTTTCCTGTTCTCCTTCCAACCTAAACATGTTTCAATATTCTTTTGTTTTACTGAGGAGGTTGAAAACTGTATTTTGCCATAGCTTGACCATCTTTACTTCATTTGATTAATTTGCTCATACCAATACCGTCTCTAAAATCCAAATACCCAGATATTCTACAAAAGATAGGGAAGATTTAATATTCACTTGTGTAGAAGGATGTAATCGATTGTGTAGCCAGTGTATATATCAATAGTCTAACAAGAAACATATCTTGTAGTTTTTCCTTTGAGGGTAAGGGAACGAGGAACGAAGTTACGGGTAATGTGCTTTTGGACAAATTTTGTGAGTTTTGAACATCATATGCAGTTTTTTCGTGCACAATGTTGGCATCGGGAAATGTTTGTCTTGATAAATGAGTTCACTCTGGTGGATTTGCTTGAACAGTCATTGATATAACGAGTTACTGAAATGAGGCTAAATATGGTGATCTTGGTTATAAATTATCAGCTTCTCGAGTCAGAAATTATGAGATTTTTTTATTTTCAGAATTTTCAAAACCATCTACAAAGGGTTAAGATCTATTTAAGTACTTGAGCAGTATTAAACTTCAAAGTGAGGAGTGCTGCTACTATTTGTTTATGGAAATATTTGGTGTTCTGATAATGGTCCTTTTTTACTTTCTGATTGATTTGCTGTACGGAAAACTTTATTTCATTAATTGAAAAATAGAATCCCTGATCACGTTGAGTTTACTCTGGCAAAAATGCAGTCCTAAATGTGAATGCATTCCTGGTTGAAAAAGGGAATGTTGTACTGTAAATTTTTTGGAGACGAGAGAATATTAGTCTACCATTGTAGTTCATTTAGTACTTTGAAACTGTTCTAAATTCTAATATATATTTTAAAAGTACCAGCAAGTAAGACTCGTCATCTTTTATCCCCTACAACTAGAAACAGACCTGCCCAATGATGTTAAATAACAGTTATAGAGCCACCATAAAGAGGTGTTTTTTCGACCACCTCCGCCATGGTCAACGTGTGAAGGGATGCCCATGCCATAGGTAGCAATGACGTGTTTATATGGCAGAAATTTGGCCTTATGAGATATTCTGCCATTCATAACCAACCTTGGGCATTTGGTATACACTTTTATTTATATTTGCTGTGGCCACTGGACAAAGTGTGCATTGGACCAGTTGTTAGATGTTATATCTATATAAAAAATAATTATTTTTTAGGTTTTAGTTGGTTCTTATATGTTTTGTAATTCTATAGAAGTTTCATATCAGTAGTAGGGTGTAAACTAGGATTAGTTTAGAAGCTTAGGAGCTTTTTAGTACTGATAAGCGCATTCTCTTTTACTGTATATTAAAATTCATGTTTCCTATCAATGGCATAATGCGGTAGAGTTATTCTGAAATCCCTAGTGGACTGAAGGGTACTAACTAGCCCATTACGCCTAATGTTATGCATCAAAGAGCATGCCAATAAGGTAGGGACCAAACTAATTCTTTATATGTTTTAGTCTAAGAAAAAATGTTATAAATTTGTTGTTACTAATTTGAATTGTTGATAAGCAGAAACTTCTTTGTAGTGTAGATTTTAAAATTCATGTATGAAATGCATATTGTTTATGTTAGACTAATTTGATGTTATTCTTACTCTAGCCTCCCATTGGTAATGACCGCTCTGCTGAATTAGGAACATGGCAAGAAAGAGAAGTAAAAGTGTCTGGGACTAGTTGGGATGTCAACAGCATTGACATAGCAATAGCGGGTTTAGGTTGGTTCTCATTGACTCTCAAAGGTGAAGCAACCACGAAATTGTGGGCCTTTGATGGGGTTGAAGTAACTTTGAGAGAGCCTTTGGTGCTTGACCGGGCACCATTCCTTGAGAAGCCAGGATTTTGGTTACCTAAAGCCATCTCTGATGCTATTGGCAACCAAACCAAACTTGAAGCTCAAAGAAGAAAACAACTTGACAATGAGGATACGGAATACGTGGGGGCAGGGGCAGGGTTATCTGCATGAAAAGAATTTTCCCTGATTTTCATTAAGGATGTCTGTAACTGAACTGACGTGTTGCAGAGGCAATAACATGTTTTTGCAACTAAAGCTTCTACGCCAATTTCTAGCAACTATTTGGTGTGTGATAGTCCCCCATCACAAATACACATAAATGTACTTCTAATTCAATAGGAGTCGTAGTAGGTCATTGTGTGATTTTGATTCTCAGATGAGTCGCAAGACCTGCGTCTTTAATGTACAGAAATTGGCAATTAATATCTGGCATCTTAGCAGGTAGATTTTCAAAGTGTGTGTATTGATTGTCTTGACACCTAAAGAAAAATATAATTCATTTATTCGTGGCTGATTAATTACTCTTTGGACCGTGCTTTCTTTCTCATGTTTCATGCAGGTGCCACGCCTAATGTTTTCGTACCAATACAAATATATGTTACAATAATTTACACGCATTTCTCAATATTTTAATAGTAATATCAATTTCATCAAACACTAAGCCAGATCAACATTATTGACATTTTTATGCTTACATCGAAAAATCCATGTGCCTAACACGAAGTCGAATCTGGCAAATATGTTCGATACGTCCATTTTATGTTGTTTTTCCTTATTTTAGTTCTTTTTTCTACAAAAGCATTTAAAGTTCAGGTGAGAGACGTGAGAAAACAAGTCCTGACAGAGAAGCCTTCTTTTCCTTTTTTTTTTTTTTTCTTTTTGTAATTTGAATACTTGCTTGTGGCAGCTTTTACAACATCAGTACACGAAACAGTTACATTTTCTTTCATCTTTCTTCTCTCCCTATTCACCAGAGAAGCATAGATTAAAGGTTGAAAACTTAGCCTATACAAGAGTTAAAGAAAGTTGAAGCTATTGATAACATGGTACAATATCAGCTAAATGACCGCAAGCTAAGGCAACGCGTGGCATTCAGCCTCTTTGGTTGGTAGATGCGTTCAAAGGTTCATCTCTAGCTCATGCAGTTACTTTGGGTCCGGTTCCTTCAGAAGAAATTGATAAAAAAAAAAAAAACCATTAGTGCATGAAAACCAAACTCAAACAATAATTGCATCATCGAGATAACATAATATGATAATATTACTAAATTTGAATTTTGAATTCAACCCTTACCTTGGGTTTCATAAGATTGAATAAAGTCTTCAAGCTGAGCGTCCAAAACATCAAGATCTTCACCAGCATCAAGATCAAACGATTCAGGAAGCAGATCAACGACATCATTTCCATCAAACTCATCTTCCTCACCATAATAGGCTCCATCCTCCTGTTGCTGGCTGAGCCAGAAGTCATGGTACCATGTGAATGTCGTCACCAGCTGCCACCATTCTGGAGAAAAATCCTCCACTTGACGGAACGCAGCTGGAATGTAAAGTGGGGCATTCGGGTTCAGTGTTGATCTTCCTCCAGAGACTAGTGCCATCTTCCTCTCCTCAATTTGTTTAAACGATTCTGATCCTTTTTCTGCGTCTGCACCACAACCAAATCAACACAAACAAGACTCATAAACAACTCCGCCAAACACCAAATTAACAAACACGGATCTTCACCAAATTCCGCGGTTCAACCATTTAGGTTAACAATTTTCGAAAATCTACATAGGGGGATACCATGATTAACTCCACCAACTTCACAAATATCTGAAAAATTGTGGCCATTTTTTTATTAGGAATCGTAATTTTCGCAAGTTTTTTTTTTCCTATGGAACAACAAGAAACGATCATACATAATAAATAAATAAATAAATAAATAATGAAAAAACGTCAGATCTCAAAGTGAAAAATCCAAAACTATCTCAGTATTGACTCCTTCGGAGTAATTATCCGTTAAATAAAAAATTCAAATGACAACAGCAGCAAAGAAAGAGAAAAAAAAACGTTGTCGGATTGAAATTTCAAAACCTAAAAAATTCAAACAGGAAAGCACCAAACCCATTAGTTTCCAAGCAGCAATCAAGCAAAATAGCAAAGCAATAATCAATTTCGCACAATTAAAAACAAAAACCTGCAACCAAACCGATCGCTCGAGAATTTTCATTTGTTTTTTCAACCCACTTTCCCCAAAGCAGAAAAAAAGGAAAACCGAAATCAAACTTCACCGAAACAAAATCCTAAAAATGACGAAGAGATCATAGAAGGAGAGAGAAAAATAGAAGAGACTTACCCGAGAAATTTCGTTATCGACGAGCGAGCGAGAGTCACGCGTCGAGGCGAGTCGCGAGGGCGCAATTTAGAGGGGGCAAGAGGATCACTCCGAAGCTAGGGTTCGGGGGAAAGCGGGGCCCACCGAGGTAGGTTTGGTAAGGCACCGTCCAGTGTGCGTCTTGGTTCGGACGCAACGGTGCTGAGGTCAATGTCAACTGTGCGCGTATTCCAGGCCGTGTTTGTTGACCCTTTTGCGTATTTATTACAGTTTTCAGTGTTTCCATGTTTTCCTGTTTCGTTTCTACTTTTACGGTTTGTAATTGTGCCCTAACCATCCAAAAACTTAACCCTATTTGCTAAACTCGCTAGTCAACGATGCCATAAATTAAAATCATGGCACAAATTATGTAAGCCATCATTAAGGTGAAATAGTTGGATGATGTGTGTTAATAACATTCTTTCTTACGTTAATAACCTTTTTTTAATACTTACAATTTGAGGTTACTCTTTCAAATTTAACTTTCCTCACCGCCCTAAATATCGTAGGAAGAAGTTAAGACTTAGCATTGAAAATTACATAAATACATATTCAATTTACGTACAAAAGAGACAGTTAAACAATATCTTTTTATTATTGATTTGTAAATAAAATATATTTATTCAGTCGTAAAATATATTTGAAATGTTATAATTCATGATCATTAAAATTTAATTATTGTCAAAAATATTTGGAGAGTTTTGTAGGTGCACGAAGTGTAATGAGATTTATTTTTGGAATATTTGAAAAAACTCTTTTTTTTTAACAATAGATTAAATAGATTTGACAAGATGTCTTATTCATTAAAACGTGTTTAAAAAACATGTAATTGTCGTAGAAGGATGCTATTATTGTGAAGTTTAGAGAAATTCATAAAACTTTTAAATAATACAAGATAAGGATGACAAAACGGGTGAGCCCGCCTGTTTTGGCCCGTCCCGCTTTTGACCAGTCAAAAGCGGGACGAGTTGGTCCGTTATAGTCATGACGGGCTGTAGATCTTGGTCTGTCTCAGGTCGAGGATGGATGCAACTGATCGACCCACCATAATTTAGAAAAAAAATAATTTATTTTTAAAATAATTTATTTTTAAAATAATTTTTTTTAATAAATTTAATAATAAGATTATTATTTGTTTGTCGATAATTTTATATATATATATATATTATTTTAATTTAATAATATAAATCAATACATTATTTTAAGAAATTATAATTTAGAACAATAATTAAATTTATATAATAATAAATAATAGCAAATATATATATATATATATATATATAACGTTAAAACTTATAAAATTTATTGAAATTTTCAAATATCTATATCTTTTTTATTTGATAAAACTTCATATTATTATTGGTTGAGTAATTCTTACATCTTTAATAAGTCATAAAGATAAAAATAATCGATGCTTAGGATAAACAAGGAGAACACGAGATAAAATGTTATGTTTCAGTAGGGAGAATATTTTTTGTGAGAGTAAAACTTTTTTAATTCTCTTTTTAAAATTTTAACTTTATATATTATCTTTATAATTAATTTTATTACAATAAAAATTTATTTTTTTATTAATTAGGCGGGCGCGGGCTGCCCGCCCCATCCCACGGGTTGGCGGGCTTTGCGGGACGGGCCAAAGCGGGCTGGTGGGTTGAAACCCACCCCGCCATATTATGGTGGGTGACGGACTGGTCTGTCGGGCCCAGCCGTTTTGCCATCCCTAGGTATGGGGCATATAAACATCGGCGGTGAAAAAACGTCATAAAATATCATTTGTGTAACTGTCGTTGTAATATAATTTTATTTTATGAATTTTTATTTTTTATTTTTATTTTAACTTAAAGGAAGTTTTGGGATAAAAATTATATTTTTGGTGTACTTGGAAGCGGTTCAAGGTTAATTACATATTAATTACATTTAGATATACATCAACGAAACTATTAACTTTTATTACTTTTAATATATTTGTTAATTTTTTTCAATGATATTTTTAATATTTTAACATTCTTTCTCCGCTTAATTAAAAATATAAAAATTAACTTACAGAATATTAATTATATAATCTTAATTTTTAAAAATTATATATATATATATATATATATATATATATATATATGATTTTTAAAATTGAGAATTAAAACGTATGATAGTTGTTATTTAATTTAGTTATTGAAATTTGTATTATGTTATGTATATTTAATATATCTTAGAACATATTTGTGTTTAGAAAATGCTTAAAATTATTTTAAATAACTCTTTAATTGAAGAAATATGATATAACATCGAGAATTGCTTCGAAATTGAACGAGTAATTTTTTAATCACTGATTACCATAAAAAATATTTTTTTATTACATCAAAATCTTTCTTACATATCAAAATTTTAAAATTGTACTGTAATAAACAAAACTATACAAACCTTTGCGTAAAAATGATAGATCCGTCATAAAAATCATAAAAAAAATCAATAACAACAATACAAGCATCTACACAAAAATTATAGATCCAATAAAAAATAATTAAAAATCAACAAGATTAAAATCACAATAAATAGAAATCTAAAATATTTGAATAAAAAAATATTTGGAGACATTTTTCTATTATATATATATATATATACTTTTTTTTTTAATGTTAGACATATTTTAAATTATTTAATTATGAAAAATTTATTTTTTTAATGAATGATTTGAGATGTATTATGTTTAATTGAAAGATGTCAAGTAACCATACCAATTATTCTTTTCGTCTTGAAGTTTTGGGGAATAACTTCTCAAAGTATAATAACTCTTGATAAGAGACGTATTTGTAAAAATGCTTAAGTAAGTAAATACCTGCAAATATATTATAATGTTCAAATTAACGACATAAAAAATATTTTGCAAGAGTGGTTAGGATATGATCACATTAACTTTTTTTTATAAAATTTACTAATAATTATAAAATCGTATCTAGGTGATATAACTCGGAGTTTTATGTAAAACTTTATTATGATGAGAATCAAACCAAAACTTCAAAATATATTTTATTTTATTTTCTTAATTTTGTCTCTACAAGTTTTTAAGGAAGAAACCCATCCATTTATACTCATGATCAAAACATAAAACGAATTTGCAAATTTTGAAGATGATTGGTTGGTGAGGGGTATTTTAAAGCGAGATAGTGTGTGTGTGGTAGATAATTATTGAAAGGCACGATTATTTTGGCATTTTTAGCAATTCTTTTAATCAATTCGATGAGTGGTGACGTGGGAGCAACCAGGAAACATGGATGTAAAATCTCCCAATAATTAGTTAAGTGCACATGGCATGCTTCGCGTGCCCAAATCAAAGATTAGTTCAATGATGCCTAAAAGCAATTCTACACCACTAAAAGTTGCTCCCCCAAAAATCATCATCTCATACAATTTCATTCTTGTGTCAATTATATCATATCTTGCAAACAAAGCACACCCACTTATTGCAAATAAATGCAACTACTGTGAAACCCTCGCATGTGCTTCAATTATTAACTTTGATTTATATAATAAAAGTTGCTTTGCTTTAGATTGCCTTCGGTGAGGTAAACAATGATATTATTAACTTTCATTGTTAGGAAACATTCTTAAATTAATTTAAAGTACACTTTTTTTATAGATTAGGAATTAAAATTTAAAGATTTTATAATTAAATCGTAGTATGTTTAAAAATATACAACGTTTTTTAATAAAAAATATTTTTAAATATATAATATTTATAAAGTTTATGATTGTATTAACTACTCTTTTATCAATTATACTCCTGTCTTTTAATCATATTTGTAATAGAAAGATGAGATAATAAATTGCTTAAGAGTATTTTGGTTTGAGAAATACTATTAAAATAATAAGATTATTAAAAATAATAAAAATTAATATTTATTTTAATTTGTGTGACCTAATCTTAAATATTATATATTTTGAAATGGAGGAAATATAAAAATAAAGAAGACATTCAATTAATTAAAGAAAAAAGTAAGAAATTTAAACTTGTTTTTTATTTTGTTATTTATTTGTTAATCTAATAATATAAGATAATAATTCATCTTAATTATTAAATTTAAAATAATGAATTATACTTCAAAATTATATTTTAAGTAAATTATAAAGTTTAACATAGTAAAAACTTATAAATATCTAATTAGACTTAGGATTTATGTGTTATTTGATATCTCTTGTTTATGTTTTAACTATTCAAGCTAATTTATTGCTTTATAGTGGTTTTGAGTACTAATATTATTTGGGGAAACTATCAACGATTATTTATATTTTTAATTTGTATTAATTACTATTAAGTTTTTGTCTGAAATTACAAACTTTAAAGTAAAAATGTAATAAAAGATAGTTTTTTTCTTTTTTAAATCAACAAATCAAAATTTATTAAAAAAGTACTAGAATAATAATAGATAGAAATGCCATAATTCTACTTATTTCATAAAAATATGGTAAGCACGTGTTTTTTTATTCTAATAACACTATTTAATACAAATAAAAGTAAATTCTGCAAATCTTTTTTATTCTTTAAATTTTTAATATAGATACTACCAAAAACAAATAATAATAGTAAAATATATTCAAATAAATATCTATAACACATTTAATCATATCATTAATAAGATCCAATAATAATTCATAATTCTTTTCGGATATCTAATGATGGAAGAATATCATTATTAAAACCTTATTAAGAAAATTTCTGACCTAACGAAGTTTTTGTCTTCATATAAATCGTTAGTAAGATGATGAAGTTCAATCTCATGAATAACTTGTTTAAATACTTTAATTAGTCTAGATTTTGTAGATAATTATACTAAGTTTTCACATAAACAAACATTCTAAATTTCTATATTATTGTTTAAGAATCATTTTTAAAGTATAACTCTTGTTGTACCTTCTTTAATATATTCTTCTTTCAATTAAATAAATGTATGTATTATTATCTTTGTATATAATTTTTAGTGCCTTTTTTCTTCAATATAACCACAAGTTTGGAGTAAATATTAAACCATTAATATAATATAATTATAAAATTTAGGCATGATTGCAGGGGGTATAGTCAGGGGAGTAGCGGGGTCAGAACCCAAACCAAATTTTTTATATATATAATTTAAAAAAAAATACTTTATATTTTTTATAAATATAAATAAAAATTTTATCTTTTCTTCATTGTTCATTTATTTTCTTACATAATTTTTTCTTCATATTTTTTTCTCTCTTTTTCTTCTCTCTTCATATTTTTTTTATCTTTCTTCTTCCATATTTTCATATTTCCACTTCAACTTT